TCCTGTAGTACCCTATGTCCTAAACCCTAAACCCCTAAACCCTAAACCCCCAAACCCTAAACCCCTAAACCCTAAACCCCTAAACCCTAAACCCCTAAACCCCTAAACCCCTAAACCCCTAAACCCCCAAAACCTTGCCGGGGCTCTCAACCATGTTCAGGTCATAGCTCGCCAGCTCTCCTGGGCTGCTGTAGAGTGACAAGGGGGCTGGGGTTTAGGGTTTTAGGGCTTAAGGTTTAGGGCTTCGGGGCTTTAGGGTTTAGGGTTTAGGGTCTAGGGTCTAGGGTTTTAGGGTTTTAGGGCTTTAGGGTCTATGGCTTCGGGCTTTTCGGGTTTAGGGTCTAGGGTTTAGGGTTTCAGGAAGTTTTGTGGGAGCCTGAATAATTAGAACGAGGTTTCGGGCTCCTTTTTTGTACCAATAGAACAAGGAAGCCTGAGGAACAATATTCTGCATTTGGTAAGTCTTTCGGCGCCGATATTTATGGGCTTGGGGTTTAGAGCTTGGGGGTTTGGCCTTCGGGTACAGAATGACAAGGCGTTGAGGCTTCGCCATAACAGAATGCTTCTGAGGATCTATTTGGTGTGCACATTGGTTTCCGGTCATGCTGCTTGCTCAACACACATCGCGAGTATCAACTTCAGCAACCAGAACAACCGTCTCGGAAGCAGCCAGGCAACAGCAGGGCTTACACATGAAACCCCCAAAGCCCATGGAATCCGAAAGAAACTTGAAACCCTGAAACCCAACCAAAGCCCAAAACCCGGCACCCTGGATCTAGTTGCCAAGCGTCGGGAAGGCTGAAAGTGGTTCATGGCCTCATCCTCCAGCTCGAGCTTCTCCAGCTTTCGCTGAGTCATGCGCGGCGGCAGCTTGAACTTCACAATCTGGCAAGACAGGGAGACTCCGACAGAAAAGGGTGCCGTCAGGGCTTAATGAGGGGCCGAGCTAAGTCGAACAGGGCTTTGGGGTATACTGAGGTCTAGTGATTTGTAGCGACTCTAAGAGAAGACGATTCGTAGTTTATTCCGACACGCTTAATTGTCGGAGTCTAAAAAGGCTTTAAGGCTCCCAAGAAGGGTTGCGCAAGAAACAAAGCTGTGGCCAGAGAATAAGGTTTAGGGCTTGGGGTTTAGGGATTAGAGTATGAGACTTAATCTGGATTATGCTTGAGTATAGGCGGAAGGGGTTACGGGTTAATCGTAGGCGAGGGCCTCGATAGATCTAATAGGGCTTTGGGGTATGTTATAGTATAAGTACTTGAAGCCCCTATCTTGCAAGGGAAGATTTCGATCCCAGTTCCTACGCTCCTCGTTTAGGATGTAGGGTCTAGGGTTTAGAGCTCAGGATGTCCAGCTTTTGACTTGGAAAAGGGCCTGCAATTCCCAATACCCCTGAAATAAGTAATGTTGAAGGAGCTCTTTATATCTAAAGGTTCTTTGGACTACCAAGAGCTAATTCTTTGTAGGGTCCCTATAAGTTCTAGATTCTAGATTAGGGTTTCAGGGTTTAAGGAGCCCGTTTTTTATGACTTCAGGTATGGGACTTCGGATTAGGGGGACCCTTCAGGATAGAGACCCTCTCAATAAGGTCCTATTGCAGAGAGCCAGAAGTAGGGTTAAGAAGCCTTTAAGGGGGTCTCCCTAGTACGACCTAGGAAGGTATAAATCATGAAGCATCGGACTCTGGCACAAGGACCATGCGACGTCTGTTGAAGACTCTGCTTGCGCTACCTTAACTTACGAAACGCCCAGGACGCTAATCCAAAATCCCACAACACCACAAGCCCGAAAGGTCAAGAACAAAACCAACCAACAAGAATGAACAAAAACACTAAGCGCCGACAATCTTCAAGCCCTGTACATCCTGATACTTAGTTGCTGCGTTCATAAGCCACAAAAAGTG